TTAGTGCCTGCACGGATTACCTCCTCTGATCTGGGAGAGGTGGGACAGGGGCTGGGAGCAGCAGTAGGGATGGTTACCCAAAAGCCCTTTCCTATGGGCTGGGAGCAGCCGGAGGGATGGTGGCCGGGAAGCCCCTTCCTCTGGACCAGGAGCAGTGGGATGGCAGCTCAGAAACCCCTCCCTCTGGGCCGGGAGCAGTGGGAGGGATGGTGGCCCAGAAGTCCCTTCCTCTGGGCCAGGAGCAGCTGGACAGAAGGTGGCCCAAAAGCCCTTTTCTCTGGGCTGGGAGCAGCGGGAGGGATGGTGACCGGGAAGCCCCTTCCTCTGGACCAGGAGCAGTGGGACTGCGGCTCAGAAGCCCCTACCTCTGGGCCGGGAGCACCGGGACTCAGTACCTTGGTCTGGTGGTCTGGTGTCCTCTGCGCCTTTGTAGTGTGGAATCAGGTGGCTGCCTGTCTGCAGCGGGGTGATTCAGGGTTTTCCCTGAGACTCAGGACCTTGGTAGGGCATGCATAGACTTGCTTGTCTGCAGCGGGCTGATTTGGCATGTTCCATGTGACTGGGGACCTCTGTAGTGAGTGGGCAGACCTGCCTGTCTGCAGCTGGGTGATTTGGCGTCTTCCGCGTGACTCAGGACCTCGGTAGGGTGTGGGCAGACTTGCCTGTCAGCAGCAGGCTGGTAGTCTAAAACTTAAGTCCTGGATGTTGAGCCTTTTGAAATCACCAAGTATAATCAGTTGCCCAATTGATAGTTTGTAGAGGTTTCAGCCCATAATCCGCTGGCTCCCAGGCAGGGCGGTATGGCAGAGAGGCAACTGTTCATGGTGGACTGAAGATGAAAATACTAATAGCTTTAACAGATGCTCTTGACTCCTGTTCTAGCCATCATGGTTTCTCGTTCACCAGCATAATGATGAATAAAGACTTGGACTTATCTTCTCCTAGTGTATGAATTTGAGCCCTCGGAAGCCCTATTCTTTTCTGGCAGTTTATTATTTCATTCCACTCTAGGAGGAACAACCTTCCTCTTCACCATTATCATTGTTTTGGTACAAACTGCAGGACACATGTCCAGATGTGGGCACATGGGACCATTCCCAGGTTCAACTCTGACAATGAAGATATCTCTTCTCTGGGAAGAAGTTATAGGCCTTAAAATTGTTTATTTGTTTGTTTTCTTTTTCTTTTTTGGTACCAGGGATCAAACTCGGGACCTTGCACTTTCGAGGCAGGCGGTGAAACCACTGAGCTAAATCCCCAGCCCCAGTTGTTTTTATTCTTTAAAAAAAAGTTGACATCAAAAGTAGGGACCTTTAAAAAATTGCCTTTTTGTTCTCTTTCTTCTTGTTTTCCTGGAAGTGACAAAGAAATTAATCTCTTCCATAATGGAGTCTGCATTCATCCTTCTCCTTTCTTTCTTACCTTGTCCCAAGGGATTTTTAAAACACGCTGCAAAAATCCTTCATACTCATTCTCATCACGTTTCCTGTATTCTGAGACTCAGCATGAGCTTTTACAGATTTCAGCTACTCTGTTTCTCCAACAAGGTCACAGCCATTATCTGAAGAGCAGGCGGCTCTGATTCTAGATTTGCTCTCTCTCAGATCTCCAGGCACCCTCAATGGAGCCCCACAAAGTGCTCAGCCTGGGTTTATTCCACAACATTCAGCTGCAGGAAATAGCACATTTCTCTAGGTAAATCAGCTTTAATTGGGCTTTGGGTCTCCTCCCTGAGTCCGAATAAATTTAATCTCAGATGGATTTGGAGGCTCCTTCCCTTCCCTGGGGTCATACAAAAATCTAAGGATTTAAGGGGTACCTGTAAAACAGGGAAGGGACCTCTAGACCTCATTTTATAGTAGCCATCCCAGAGTTGCTTATTGCGCAAGGTCACATGGTCCAGTAGAAGGTAGATGGCTCCATTTGTTCCATACCAAGTGTGGACAGGAGAGTATTTCTCCCAGATCTGAAGGCCACAGATTCTAATCTTCTCACCATTCAGCTAGCATCTCTTGTGGGTGCTGCAAGGGAGGTGAGGAAACATTACTCATTCAACCCCATGTCACCCAAAGCACAAGTCTTGGTAAAATTCAAGGCTTGACTAAAATCCACAGGCTGGCCTGTATATGATGGTGAAAGGTGATGGGTGTTGAAGCCCATCAGACCATTTGGAAAATGTGTGAAGTTTATGGTTTTACTGAAAGACAAGGACTGGACTTTTTAATGCTCTCTGATGACAGATCTCCTCATCTGAAAAGGAGACTCACTCTGAGGCAAGAACACGTTTCTCTCGGCAAGATGAGGTGGTGAAGCCACATACAAGTAGGTGGCCACCCTTGTTGGAGTGTAGCCAGCTAGAGGCTGTTGTTACACATCCCCTCCTTAGACTCTCAGCCCTGGCTCCAGTTCTTCAGCAGAGGACAAAGAGGAAGACCTTTGGCATCCCCTATCCTGCCCTCTACCATATATTGGCTGTTACTGATTCAGAGTCCTAACAGCATAGGAGAAGAGAAGCATTTGGGAATTTTTGCTTTGTGTTCTTTTGTTTTCTAGTGTGAGGGTTGAACTAATCATACTCCTCTATTCACAGAGCACTGCCATTCTTGGTCTACATAAATCAATCCATTTATTCTCTTACATCCCACACCCCATTCCCATTAATTTTTCCAAAGATACCATTCTAATTTGGAAGATAGGTGGATGAATGGATAAATGGATGGATGTCATACTTTGCATTCAGTTTCCTCCTTTCTCACCCGGATCCACATGCTCAGGTCCATTCCTGTTGCTGTGCGTGTATCTAACACACTCCTCTGGCTCAGAAGACCACTCCCTATTGCACCACCCCACACTTCACCTGTGCCTCTTCTGGTCATGGCACCATGGGCCCAGGCCAACATTTATCTTAGGCAACCATGGAAATATCTGTAGAGCTTTAGTCAAAATATGGGTTGGGGCTTAAATTTTTAAATTATTTTTATTTTCTATTTTAAAAAGAAATACATTGTGAACTAATAAAATTTAGAAAATATAAGGTAAGCAGAAAGATAAAGTAAAAATCAGTTCTAATATTACAACCCAGAGAGAACCACTGTGAATATTTTGTTATCTCTAAATTTGTTCTTTTTCACAATGTGATTTTCTTTTTCTTTTTCTTTTGATTACAAAACTGGGATTACTCTAGATACATTATTTTGAACCCTGCTTTTTCATTTTAAAAATGTTTCCAACTTTTGCAAATGCTGTTAAAGTCTTTAATGCCATTTTAACAGCTGCATATTATCCCACTGATACACATGCCTCATAGGAGGTGGTATGAAGTATTGGCTAACACTACAAAAGCCATGCTACAAAAGGCCTAGAGTTTGAATTTCAGGCTCCATTTTTCAGCTGTGTGACCTGGGACAAGGTTCTTAACCTATCAGAGTCCCCAGTTCATCCTCTATAAAATGAAAATGACGATTGTTATAGTAATTACCTCAGATAGTGGTTACAAGCATTAAATTTCCTGATGTCTGTGAAGGGTTCAGCCATTACCCAGTGACTGAATGTTTATGAATCCCATTGTTTGTTTAACCAGCCTTCAATATCTTACTTCAAGTTTTTCTACTTTATTTGGTATCATTCAGCACTTTCATAAGCAACTTTACAGAGCATCTTTATTTACATCCATGATTGTTTCTTTAAGAATTATTACTGCAAGTAGAATTTATTGTTTCAAAGGGTATAGAACTTATGAGTCTTTCAGACAGATACTAAATACCAAGGTGAAAAGAAACGACTGCCTCACTTCTGAGCTCTCTTTAATTGGCACTTTCCTGCCCAGCAGTACAGAAGGACCGCCACTGGTTACCTTGGATGGTGCTTCCTGCCTAGCAATCCGAAGGAAGCACAGGATGCTTTCTTCCTTGAAAGCAGAGCACACTGAATCCATTTCTTTGACTTCTTTATACTATGGGACCAAAGAACTCTGAATGCTGAAGTTAAAAAGAGCTGACCATACTGTGCCTGTGGTTTACATGAAGTCATTTAGAAAATGAGTTGGGGCTGGGGCAGGATTTCAGGGACCTAAGTCTCCCATTCAGCACTCATTTGCTTAGTACTTGTCTCTTACCACTGGCAATAGCAGTGCAGTGCTGGGAATGTGCTCCTATGTCCTGGGAGGTGACAAAATCCAGCCTGCAAATTCAAGTGAAAGGTGAACACAGCTCTGGAGCGCAGTTGGCGAAGGGTGCTTTTCTGATTGATAATGATGGATGGTAAGAGCTAGGAAGAGAAAAGGAGGCCTCTTTAGGTAGCTTGAGCAGTTTATAAGCTTAGCCTTTAGAAATTGCTTACCATTGACACATGGAAAATACCAGTATTGATGGAGCACCTGCTTTGTTCCAAAAACCAAACCAGGTCCTGGATCACATTTAACCTTCATCTCTTTGATAGATGAGCTCTGCTCCTATTACCCCTATTTTATAGGGGCAAGTACTGAGGCTTAAAGAAATTGGGTAACTCTTGAAGTCACAGAGCTAGTAAATAGATCATAAAATCAGCATCCAAACTTAGTCCTTGCTAGCTCCAGACTCTATTCCCTAGGTTACTAACAGAGAAGAAAGAATTAAAGCTAAGCAAGTTTAACAGGAACAAATTCATTCCTGCAACATGGAAGACAGTGTAGATACTAAATATTTTAAAGGCAGCCTGGAAAACATAGTTATCTAAAAAGAAAATATTTGTCCAGATACTTAAGGACCCAGGAGTAAACAAATGGGCATTGGGTAGGAAAGAAATGGAGGAGACTTCATGCAGGATGTGTCTAAAGTGAATAAATGGAGCCTCTGAAAAGTCTGAAGACTCAGCGCAAGATCACCTAGAGTCTGGGCAAGGAGAGGCCAGCCCTGGGTGATGGATAAGGACATTTCCAGGATGTAGGTCTGTAGGGGAGCCCCTATATACAGTTGTTTATAGCAGTACTAAAATAAAGCTTGCATTTCCTACGTTTTCTTTAGGATCTGTGAAGATTTGACTAAGGAAGAAAAGCATGAGACCGATGAGTTTCTTGAAGAGTGCATTATTGATCCTTCACTCCGAGAACATCTTTCCATTCTCTCCCGCACCTTTGAGAATCAGAGGAAGCTGGTGCAGGGAGACAGCATGCTCTTCTTGGGTAGCGTTTTCACCATTGAGCCCCTGGTGAGCACATAAGTAAAATCCAACTACACAGTAAACACAAGTATCATGCAGGGCCCGCTTCAGTGAGAGCACTCACTCTGGGGCTCACACGGTGAATTTTGAGAGAGTGAAGACTTTATCATAAGGGCCTCATCATCATTGTGAGACACTGGGTGCAGGTCAATGGAAGAGTGCTCCTAGGTCACTTTCTATGCACCAGTCACTGTGTTAAAATCTTCATATAGATTACCTAGATCATCTTGCTTGTATACAAGAACTCTGCGGATGTAATTAGAGCCCCAATCTATAGACAAGGAAATTAAGACTTAGAGAAGTTCCATAGCTTGTGTAAGGCTAAGCAGCTAATGTCAGCAGTGAGAAATTCATCCCTGATTAGCCTGATTATAGAACAGGATTTCTCAACATGGCACTATTGACATTTGAGGCTGGATACTTTGTCCTGTACATTGTAGGATGTCTGATAGTATCCCTTACTTTTAGCCACTAAATGTTAATGTGACAACCAAAATTTTCACTAAACCCAAGTCCTCTGATAGGCAAATCACCAGAGTTGAGAACTGCTCTGTCCTTAATTCCTTGTGCGTGTGTGTGTGTGTGTGTGTGTGTGTGCGCGCGTGCCAGGTATTAATGAGTAAAACATAGTCCTTGACAGTACATCTTATCCAGTGAGAGCTATACCAGAGTTCAAATGGGTGCTGTCTGATTGACAGACTAAACTTTTAATCTCTCTGTCATACTACATCATGACAGAAATAACTAGCAGTTTGCATATGTGTTGTGTGCTAGGCACCGTGCTGCAAGCTTTCTTGTATTACCTTGCCTTTAGCATAGTGAGGATAACATCAGTAGGAGCTGAGAAAGCCCATAGCTGGTTCAAGCTCCTGAACTGTTATTTTAGTTAGTTGGAAAAAGATAAGGACTCCAGAATACTTTAGAATACAAAGTCACTTGTGGAAAATTCAGATTTTTTCCTTGCTTCTGTACTTACAAATAGTTATTAAAAGACATAACATGGAAAAGAGTGTCCATAGCTAAATAAGTTTGAGAAACACTAGGCTCAATATTATTTGAAAGATTTCTTTGCTGTAAAACTTCAGAAAGTCTTAGATATAATATATGCACTAAATCTCCAAGAGGGAGCTCTTCCGTCGGAGACAACCTCTAGGACTAATGTTTTGTGAGACCCATGATGAGGACTACTGAGAAGACAGTAAGAATAGTATGCTAGTTCAGAGGCTAAGGTCATGATCATAGGTTAAGAAGGCTTCTTGAGAAAAGAACCTTGCACTGAGTCTTGCAAAATAGGACTTTTGGAGAACAAAATTGTGGATGTTCATGGAATGCTTCATCCAGATTTCCAAGAGCAGACCAGTTTGCTCAGAGCAACGGGTGCAGTTCGGGGGGAAAAGGCTGGAGATGTTGATGGAGGCCAAATCTATCATGTCAAACAACTCTAGGGCTCAGCCAAGCAAAGTGGTCTCCAGATTTAATGGGTTGAAGCAGCAAGAGGTTAAATCTAGATGAGGAGAGAAAGAGAAAACAGATTAAATGCAGAGACAGGGAAAGGTCCCAGAATTACTGGATCAAGCAAGCAAGTAGCTGAGCTGCACTAACCCAGAGGAGAGCGACCAGTCACGATCATCTCAAATATACCAAGGTCCACACAATCCAAGATTCTTCTCACCTAGTTAGTGGAGAGGCAGGCTATAATCACTCATCCCGCTTCTTGTTGCTTTCTGGGAGTGGATGGCACTGGAATCACAAATGCTGTGGTCAGAGTGACCAGGGTGGGAGCCCCACAGGTGAAGTTCTGACCATTTCCAAGTTAAAAAGACTAAAATTACCTCAGATTTTCTTCTCATGCTTCTTCCCCAAAGCGTCACAGTAGGTTGAAACATGGCCTTCAATAGGCTTTTGAGTGCTCGCTTCGGCAGCACATATACTAAAATTGGAACAATAGGCTTTTGAATTTCAGGTAGAAACTGAATTAGGCATTCTTATTACAGGGCTTCTTTTTCCAATTAGGGAGAAAAAACATTTTATTTAAATAGTAATCCAGAGCAATGGAAATTTTCAAATAAATGGGATTAGTTTGTTTACATTCTGTAGAAAAAAATTCCCAGAAATAGGAAGAGGGTAGAATTCACTTATAATACAAAGTCTTTATGGAATGTATAATGATTTTATCTTTTCCAAACACTGTTCAGTTTTTCTTCTCATAATAGCATTCATTATCTTGTCCTTGAGAATTTTTGCAAAATGAAAATGAAGATATGAAACTTCTAATTGTCTTCCTTTAGTTGTTCTGGTCAAAACAGCAGATTTCTGTGCAGATAGAGTAACTTATTTATTGGTGTTAAATCTGCTTTCTTCCTCTCACTTAAAGATCCTGATCATTTTATGTAAATACAGTTCTTATTTGTGAGTAATATAATCTTACCTGGTAAATTATTCTCTGTGTGGAAATTCTGTCACTTCTCTGCCTTCTCATACAATGTATTTTTTACTGTTCAGATTTAGTTTTCTGATACAGATAAGTAAGTGCGGCAGAGTCTCAAATGAGAGATTGGGAAAGGATTTATAGGCAAGAGGAGGTTCAGCTGAGTACTGGATGAAGGGAAGGACTTAATTAAGTGGAAAGGGAACAGAATGTTTCCAGTTGGGGAAATTATAAATACAAAGAAAAAAAGCAACTATTAGGTTCATGCCAGGCCAAATAACAAAGAGCAGAACATCGTTTGTTGTTGTTGATGTTGATGTTGTTGATGTTGTTGTTGTTGTTGTTGTTGTTGTTAAGGAAATTAGAGGAAACGTGGCTACCAGACCTACCTTACAGCCTGTTGTCTCCCACCGCAGTTTTCTGGAGACACTGGATCTTAGAGGTGGTAATGTGTGTTCTTTCAAAAACGGAGGTTTTGTAGCCAAATAAAATTTGGAAAAACTGGTTCAAGAGAAAGTGATTCTCCAAGTAGCAGCTTTCTCTATGCCCAAGGACCCCTGCCCCAGAGCACACACTGAAGTTGGGTTTCTGTGGATTCCAGTTTGGTCAGTGGTGTTGAGGGTGTCTGAGACTCACTATAGGGTATAGAGCAAGAACGTGATGTTCAGGGGAGGTTGGAAAGTTGGCCCTGGAACTCATGAGTGGGTTGAATTGGAGGGGGACAGACCAGGCATGAGATGAGCAGTATAGGTCAGGCTGGGTCAGGAAGAGTGAGGAAGAACAAGCATCTCTGAAGCCAAGATGAAGCTGATGCTGATCGGCAATGGTCTGAGATGGTCAAAGAGGAAGGGACATGACAGGTGTAAAGGATGTTTAAAAAAAAAAAAAGACACCAAGTGCTTTTTGATTGACTGGCTGTTGAGGGTGAGGCATCATGAGGGATCAGACATTTCCTCTGATCTAAACTGGAGTGACTGGAAGAATTACAATGCATTTGATAGAAATCAGGAATCCTGGGCTTATTCCCTAGCTTTGCCCAATGCAAATGTGACTTTCCAATAGCCCTTCAAGCTCCCTCACCTTCAGCTGCCTTAATACAAACTCAGAATATTGAGAGATCACTCATCTTTTGTGACTCATAAATTATGCTTCTTTAATTTGAGGTCATATTCTGAGCTTTTTAAAACCAAAGAGTGCTTTATCCTCATCTGTGGTCAGTATGTAGCCCAGTGTTAATAGCTGAATAAATGAATGAATGAATGAATGACCAAATGTCAGTGGATGCTAATAAGTTTGGCTCAGAACATTTTCAATTTGAGATTACTACAGATGTCCGAAATGCTTTGGAAATGCAAGACTAAAATTTGAGGGAGGGGATTCAGGACCAGAGGCAAAATTCTAAAGCCCTGAAAAGCAGATGGAAATTCTGAGTAGAGTGGAAAAGGAAAAGTGCAGAGTGTGGAAGATGGCTTCCAGGCACTTGCTTTAGAGGCCCTGCACAGAGAGGAGATGCTGAGACTTCACAGAGCGAGCCTGGGAGTGCGCACTCCCTGAGGGCTGTGAGGCTTTGCATCTCTCTCTGGCTGTTATGCCTGCTCTGCCCCACTTTCTACTGAAGGTTTCTTCGGAGTGTTGCTCATGTATCAGGTCGTGTATCCCAAATGGACACTACTTAATTTCGGACATTTGAGCCCTCATCAGCGATTAGTTTTTCATAGGATTTGATTCTTTTTAATCAGCTTCTTGCTGTAAGTCAAGTACACAGTAGAAGCAGAGAAGATTGGAAGCATGCAATGTCACCAAATGATTTGATAGTCAATCGCTAATGATAAACTACTCAAAAAAATGGATGCAGAGGTTCAGAGAACATCTTGCTTTCTAAGGGCTCTAGCCTGTGTCTATGAGGAAGGACAATGTCTTCAAATGAGGTAAACTTAAAAATAGAAGCCAAAGTACTTCAGTGCCTGAAAAGAAACTATACATCTATATAGTTTCATTCTTCAAATACACCAGCTAGAACAGAAAGTTAGTTTAACCCCTGTTGTATCCTCTGCATATTGAGTATTTCATGGGAACATTGTTCTTATTTTAGAGGCTCTTTCAATTTAAAGCAAAGAGATTCAAAATCAAGAGATCAATCCCGTTCTTAAATTGCCTGGAGATGGTGATGGGTTTGCATTTCAATCCCATTTTATTGATATTATCATGTGAGAAATAGGTTGGCTCAATGCTATAGGAACAACAGACCCAAAAGTCTAGAAATACAAATTCTTATTCTGTTCTACCACCCATTCATCACTTGGGTGCAGGTTACTTCCACTGGCTTAGCAAACTCTGCCCATCACATTCATGCTTATCATGGAATATGGCCATTCATGGGGCCAATGGATCTGTTGCTCCAATCATAAGGAGTTAGACTTAGGCATCTTGAGTACTGATGTGGCCACAGAGTTCCAGGCCTGCTTGTTTCCTTCACTTTCTTGTGATTTGAACAGAGGGAAGCTGGCAGCTGCTGTACAGACACTGAGGTGGGAGTTCATCTTTTGAGAGCCCCCAGAAG